TGCCTGGTGGGCAGACAAGGGAGACGCGGAGAAAGCCCCAGAGTACACGGGCGGCAGGACCGCGAGGTCCCGCAGTCCGTGTACTCTGGGGCAGCCCTGTTCGTAACTGCGGATCCGACTTAAGTCGGATCCGCGTAAGTCGGGGATTGCCTGTACCTTGTGTCATCTGAGCCCTTAACACAAACTTCCAAATATCTGACATCTATTCTGAGTTAGGGTTAAAGAAGTAACTTAAAGGTGAAAATCTCTCTGTTATTAATTCTTCAGCCATCTAGCTCCTACTTATTTTCTGTAAGATATGCTCATATGCGGATCCGACTTAAGTCGGATCCGCGTAAGTCGGGGATTGCCTGTACCTTGTGTCATCTGAGCCCTTAACACAAACTTCCAAATATCTGACATCTATTCTGAGTTAGGGTTAAAGAAGTAACTTAAAGGTGAAAATCTCTCTGTTATTAATTCTTCAGCCATCTAGCTCCTACTTATTTTCTGTAAGATATGCTCATATTTTAAAGTAGCAAAAATGGATATTAAATGACTAATGGCTGGTTGAAATCAAGGATTTCAATATCATTAGGGAATAATGGAACAACATGTTCTGTTGCTTTGAAACTTTAAATTGCATTTATGATCTGAAAAGTACTGGTTAAAAAAACTATTCTGGTACCACAGATATGTTGCTTGTGTGGGGTTAGAGTCACAGCTCCTTTTTTTTTAGTGACATTTTTAACTAATGGGAACTGCTTTTTACCTCCATTAGTTCAGCTAAACCAGTGTATGTAAGAAAGAATGAGATGGAATCTCTTCTGGCTTGCTCAGAATCAGTAGAATTATGAACAAAGTACTAGGAGTTGAAACTGTTTCTAGTGATAATACATAAGCTAGACCATTTGTACAGTCAAGTACATAAATGTTCAATATTTGTGATATTTCTTTCTACTAATATATTAATTTAGACCACTTTTGGGTTTTATTTCTCTGTGAAAAGATAAGGTCCCAAACCTTCGTACTCCTCTTAATTAACACTAAAATAAATGAGAACAGCGTTGCAAACAAAAAAAGAATTAGGATCTTTAAGGTGTTGTAAATTAAGATATTTTTCTGTCCTAAAGGAGGCTAGATTATGTGAAAATTTTCCTATGGTAAACACACCACATACAAGTTTTTCTTCCTCTCTCTAGATGCAATTAAAAAAAAAAGACCGGAAATGTAGATCAGCATTAATTACGAAGCCTCAGAGATGGGTCTTATACGTTTGTTGACAGAATCTCTTTGTTTCCTTCATTTGCAGTATTCAAGAAATGCTGACAGGTCAGAGGCTTTGCCAATCTAGTTCACATAATGATGCTGTCTTGGCAGCCCTGAACCAACAAAGAAGTGATGGTATACTCTGTGATGTCACCCTCATTGCAGAAGAACAGAAATTCCATGCTCATAAAGCAGTACTTGCAGCATGCAGTGATTATTTCCGAGTAAGTTTAACTTTGCATTTTCCTCTCTATTAAATCACTAAGAGATATGATATAACTTAGATTAAAAAACAGTTGCAGGCTCTATGCTGAGCAAGTTACAATTTAGTTTAGAGACTCTAAAAAGGCTGAGATGGATGTTTTCAGAAATATACACAATGTACTTTTATTGCATTGCATACTATTAAAATATCTGTAATTTTTGTAAATGTGAATATTATTTTCATTTTTTTTCTAATTAAGAGTATAATTTTCTTTTTGTCTTTAATATGTAATTTGGGCTTTTAAAGAATATTCTTTTAACAGGTGGAGGGGTTTGTGTCTGTGTAATTCCCTAGATTTGGAAAAAAGCAAACTGAAAAAATGGGAATTCCATTATGTGGCATCATATTAAAACATAAGAGCTTCCATATTGGGTCAGTATCCTGTCTCTGACAGTGGCCCATATCAGCTGCAGGAGACATTGTAGACAACAAGTCTTTTATTCCTGGATTCTGGTAGTCAAAAATACCAACAGGGAGCTGCATCCCTGACCATATTGGCTAATAGCCACTGGTGGACCTAGCTTCCATGAATGTATCTAATTTTTTTGAGGAGGCCATTTATACTTTTCGCCATCATAATGTCTCATGTGAGAGAGTTTCATAAGTTAGTTGTGAGTTGAAAGAAAAAGGAATTCCTAATATTTGTATTGAAGTGCTGCCAATTTATTTCATCAGGTGACGCCTGTTTTTTCTATTGTGGGCAATTGTAGATAACCCCTTCATTCATATTTTTATATAATGGCGTTATAAACTTTTGTGTCTTATTTTCTATCCCTTAATAATTCCTAATATTCTGTTTGACTTATTTTTACTCTATTTGGGCCTTTTCTGACATGTCTGGATCTCTTCTGCCCTGTCCCCTTCAGTCTGTCCTTGTCTCTTGCCTACCTCTGGCTCCTTGTCCTATCCCCATTCTTCTCACCTAGCTAGTCCCAGTATCCTTGTCCAGCAAGTGCTAGTTTCATCACTTCAAACTCTCTATTCCAGTCAGTCTTGTTGCTGTTCCCAGTTCTCTCTTCCCAGCTCCTCACCCTTATGCTCTATGTGCAATGTCTACACCCCCTCCTTTTCTAGTGCTTTTACCCCAGTCTCTTTGCCCAGCCAAACTGTTCTCCTTCAGTTGCTTGTCAGATCTCCCTTTCCCTGTCACATGGATTCCGAATCTTCTCATCCTAATTTTTCCCCCAACAATCAGAGTCCATGTCCCCAGTCTTCTTCGTACACCTGCTGTAAGTCCAGCTTTTGTCCATTCAAACCATGCAGCTTCCTCTTTCATGCTCCCTTTGCATAGCTGGGTGCTCATTTAAAGCTCATTTAAGACATGCTCCTTGCTTATAGTTCAAGTGGCCACTCCCAGCATGTTCTGCAGCCTGCAGTTGCAGAAAAAAATCCTGCTCAGCCCTAGACTGCAACATGCCCAATGTGGTGGGAATTTTCTGGGAATTTAGCTATGAGCTTGCATAAGCCACTACAGAGCATGTGTGAATTGTGGTTTCCTCACTCTTCCCCATCCAAAAGGCTTATAACTTGACCATACTGTATTGGGTGGATTTTCACAAGGATGACAAAGCCGCCCCTGTGCCAAATTTAAAGCCCATGCTCCAAAGCATTGTTGTGTGAATGCTTTTTACAGAATAGTCCCCAGAATTTAACGTCACAATAACATATCTTCCCCTCCCTTGTTCTCAGAAACAGCTGAATGATTTTTGACTGAAATATTCACAGAACATTTCAGCTTGACATAGACATGAAGCATACAAAATTTCAGCTCAAATGATGAAAGTTGGGTGAAATTCAAAGCAATTGAAAAACAGGTGTTTTAATGGGAAGTGTTTGCAAGCTTATTTATAGAAATTGCTATCAGTCCCACCACCTTGTGTGTATGTGTGTGTTTGAGAGAGATTCTAAACTATCTATAGGTTTATTTTAAAATCTCGTTAAGTAGTGAGTCATCTTGACACTATTCTGAGACTAAAGGAGTTAATTGCTTTAAAAGTCTGTTTTCAGTAACAAAACATGGTTATTTAAAATTTTAGCTACAGTAGTTGTAATATTAAACGCCTTTACAGTGACCTTTTCATTCCATTAATGTAATTATATGTTTTAAACACCCACATATTGCTAGCTATTCTGTATCCTTAATTGTCTAAACAGGATCTTCATCCTCCCCTGGAACATGGTAACACTTTTTGTTAATGTTGCTGTTTAGCTTGCTATATACATATAAGGAACACTGTCAACTGAAACCAGTTACTTCCACAGTTATAACTTCAGTCAATTTAACTTCCAGTTTTTTAATATGTTTCCCCAATTTCTCTCCCTTATTACTGTGGGAGGGACCCCCAAAACTTAAGAGGTGAACACTTTGGCCAGATATATGTACTATTCTTAAGTCTTCTTTCTTGGTCCTCTGCAGTCAAAGCACCTGCTTCTCCTCCTCTTTAAGGTTGCCAACATCGAAATGGAAGAAAACTGAACACCTTGCCCCACCTCCACTCTCTCCATCCCCTTCCCTCTTTCTCTCTCTCACTTACTTTTACTGGCTGGGGCAAGGGGTTGGGATGTGGGAGGAGGTGAGGGCTCCAGTTGGGGATGCAGGCTCTGGGTGGAGCCAGAGGTCAGGGATTTGGGCGCGCAAGGGGGCTCTGGGCTGGGGTTGAGAAACGGGTTCAGGATGTGGATTCCAGGTGGTTCTGACCTCAGGCCACTCCCGGGCAGCAGTGACATGTCCTTCTGGCTTCTAGGTGGAGGAATGTTCAGATGATTCCTGAACAGCCCCCGCTGGCAGGCACTGCCCTGGCCAATGGGAGCTGTGGAGCTGGTGCTTGGGGCAGTATCTGTAAGAAAGGGCAGTGAATAGAGCTCCCCAGCCACCTCTTTGTGTAGGAGCTGGAAATGCTGGCTGCCTCCCAGGAGCCACGTGGAGCTAGGCAGGGAGCCTGCCATCCCTGCTGCAGTGCCTATTGGAGTTTTAATGGTTCCAGTGCTGATTGGGATTGCACAGTATCTTTTCAACTGGGGGTGTTCACTTGGCAGCCCTGTGGGGCTAGATTGTTGGAGCACCCGTGTCTGATTTCAGAGAGTGGCTGGGATTGGGGAGGGAAATTTCCCCCCTGCAGTTTGTTTGTTCTGCTGCTGCTAACTCAGTCTTCACCTGCTCCAATCTGGTTGCCTCCTCTGGCTTTTCAGAGGGAATAGATGTTGCCTTTTATAACCAGATCATTGCCACAGCCTGTCTTGGTCCCGTGAAAGTGTATAGAGCTCTTTCTCCTTCCACTGCTACCTGTTTTTCCCTCACCTTTGTTAGGACCCACATCCCTCCAAGACCATGGTGTCTTCTTCTCTGGGTTCTGCCATGCTGCACTGCTCCCACACTCTAGAGTCGTCCCCCACTGGGAACCTCTATTTTCCTATGCCACCTTTCCTCAGTGACCCACTGCCAGTCATCATTTAGCCCCTTATCTCAGGGACAAACCGCAGTCTTAAATGACCACTCATCATTGGCAAGGGGGTGTGGACCTTCTGCCTTTGCCTACCCTAGCTGCCTCCCCCCTGCAGCTTTAGTAGCCTCAGGCCTTGCTTCAGGCCCTGCAACCTTGGATCTTCATGGCCAGAGCTTCCCCAGCCCTGCTCTATGTCAGGAAACCTCTAGCTTTCCTGGCAGCTAGGTCCCTCCTGCTCCACGGTTAGAGCAACTTTATTTATACTGCCCTCAGATGGGCTCTAATTGGCTAATTCATGTCACAGCTGCTGGCTCAACAGCGCCACCACTCCAGCACTGTCCCAGGCTGGGTTTTAACCTCTAAAGGGCCACTGTGGGGCACATGCCCCATTACACTTCCCCTTCCACCTAGCGCACTCTTTTCTCTCATTACCCCTCTCTAGTGCCTGGCAAAATCTCATGAAGAGTGGGGTGCTGCCTGTCTGCCTGCCTTGTGTACTGTAATAGTATTACAGAACGTCTCTGGTCTTGCTTACTGATTGACTGAACTTGAGATTGGATGTCTGTCTGTCTCTCTCTCTCTATTATTACCATTGTTTCCAGTTGAGTTACTTGATTTGGTGAATTATCATTGTGAATTTTTGTCTTTCTACCTGATGGGGAAAAAATAACAATTTTAAGTTCAAATTATTACATCATAAATCATGTCTATTTAAAAATACTAAGGGGATGACTTAATGCAATTTTTGAGTAATCTGATTGGCCTCAAAATTTGTTATAATTTAGTAGGACACATTGTCCCCACTTTAAATATCCACTTAAAAATGCACCATGTCTTTGCTGAAAATCAACCAACAATGGCTGCTATTTGTGGGGTCAGAAGATTTGAAATTGCATAGGGGTGATAAGTGAGGAAGAGAATAAATGCAGCACAGGAAAACCTAACCCTCCTTACTGTGCTGTGAAATTAAAAATAATGAGATTGGCTTAAAATAATGATTTTATGTAAATTTTGGCTTCAGTGTATCATGTTTAAAGGTGGGTTTTGTTTGTTTTGCAATCTTTTGCAAAAAGACACTTACGAAAGCTAACTTTAAAGTGAGATTCTTACATAATCACAGGACTCCAGGTGCTAGGGCTCTAAGAAGAATGATAAATAATATGATGCTTAAAATAAAAGCTCATAGAAATTGGCAACATTACAAAAATGATATGAAAGCAGTTCCTGCAGTCCTTTGCTTCCCCTTTGCACACTTCAGTTTTTAAGAGCTTTAAGATCTAAGAATTATGGCTTTTTTAAAAATTCTGTTTTTCTTTACTTTGAGGTATGTTATCAGTCTTCCATCCTGATCATACAACCTGATCCTCCCTGATCAAGTCTTCTGATCTTATGAAAATCAGCCACGTTCCTCTCGGGTGTAGGATTCTGCCAATATGAATCCTTTTGAAATGCCATTTACATAGGTTCTTGAAGCTTTTCTTTTGCTTGTTTTTGATTTTTTTTATAAAAGGAGTAG